TTGTGTGGTCACAGCTGGGGGCAGTGACTGTTTTGGTGTCAGCCTCCTGCTGAAAGCAGGAACAATAGACTCAGGAAGGAAAGAGGTAGTGAAGTCAAAGCAGGGGGGATTGCAGAACCTGGAAGAAGACTTCCAGCTGGTAGGATAGAAAGGAAACATAGGGAGGAAGGGACCACAGGATCTGTAAATAGCCAGACCCACTGAAAGCGCTGAGACTGAAGGGGGGAGATTATGGGCCCCCACACTAAGGGGGAAGAAGTGCTGACCACCACTGCACTGCTTATGGAGAAAGGAAGCCTTAAGCTGAGAAACAAACCAGGAACCTCTGCAAGCAGGGTTATGGTATCATGAAAAACAGGAGGGGACAGTGAGTAAAATGGATGTGCTGAAAGCAGCTGAGGTGATTTGACCTGAAATATGGGTTTGGAAAAATTCACTGGAGCCATGTTGCTTAGTCAAGATGTTCCAATAGAAAAAACCAGCCTATTTCTTCCAGTTCTTCCCTACCCTGTTGTGGCCCCCTCCCATCTTCTCCAGAAACATCTTCTCATACTCATTCTCTTTGATCTTCTAAGAACCCAGGTAGCTTGGTAAACAGTTTCACTCCCATCCAGCCCCTGAATTTTCCGGGTCCTTCTAGCCTGTACCTGGGCAGTCATGCAACACTTGGTTGCAAGTCTCTTTCTGTTTCTTTTTCTTTGTGTGTGTAAGGTCTCTTTGAAGACACTTTGCCGCTTGTTTTGCACAGTGTTCCCTGCCAGTCAGTAGCGAGTATCCTCTGCAAGCAGGGTTATGGTATCTTGAAAAACAGGAGGGGACAGTGAGTAAAATGGATGTGCTGAAAGCAGCGGAGGTGATTTGACCTGAAATATGGTTTTGGAAAAATTCACTGGAGCCATGTTGCTTAGTCAAGATGTTCCAATAGAAAAAACCAGCCTATTTCTTCCAGTTACAGGGCGTACCCCATTGTGGCCCTCTCCCATTTTCTCCAGAAACATCTTCTCATGCTCATTCTGTTTGATCTTCTAAGAACCCAGGTAGCTTGGTAAACTACCAAGTTTCTACCAAACAGTTTCAGTCCCATCCAGCCCCTGAATTTTCCGGGTCCTTCTAGCCTGTACCTGGGCAGTCATGCAAGTTGCAAGTCTCTTTCTGTTTCTTTTTCTTTGTGTGTGTAAGGTCTCTCTGAAGACACTTTGCCGCTTGTTTTGCACTGTGTTCCCTGCCAGTCTGTAGCGAGTATGTTCCAACCACATCTCCACGGGCCAAGGTGGAGTTTGTGGCAGTGGCTTCCTCTCAGGTTCAGCCCCATGACCAGTCTGCAGTCAGTCTCTGTGCAGTTACCCTAGAAACAATCACCTACCGGCCTGAGCAGGCTGTTTGAGCCCATTTTAACTCCAGCACCAGCTTTCTTCACAAGCAGAGGGGAATTTTGCAGCCTGCTGCTGCTGGCAGCTCTAGAAACGCAACTGGGAGAACCCACCTGAGATAGCAGAGCTCCACACGGCTGTGGCCTTGGGCAAAGGGAGCACAGGGACAGTCTGTGACAGCTCCAAGGGGGGGTCTTTGTGCAGGATTGCTACATGCTTCTACCTGCCTCAGCACTCCATGCCAAGCAAAACAGCCACAACAAGGACACAGGGGATGGGGAAGTGGGATGGAAAGAAAACCGAAGCACCAACAGCCCCAAGCTCCACACAGGGCTGTGGGAGTGCCACCAAGAGTTAGAAACTAACCACAACTCTCAGCTGCCATCGGAGCACAGCTGTCCTGTGGGCTCTGCGACCCAGATTTTGCCTACAGGGCATAAACATCATTAATGGATTGAGCAAAGCAAGCCCAGCTGCTGCTTTGGGGAAATGGGTGTGATCCGTCATAGAGAATCTTTAACTTCCTCTTCCTAGAAAATTCATGATCAACAGGAAATCCAAGCTTTGGGTGATACTTGAGAAATTCTTTTTGAGGAAGACGTCAGAACCAAATTAATGATCTGCCAACCACAGGTGTACGAGCTTTCCGCAAGGAGTGGCTTTATTAAAAAAAATAAAATATGACTAGATAATGGTTTCACTGTGTTGCCCATCAGGCACAGAGATGTATTCATATTCTGTTCTTACAGAAGCCATGGGGGAAGAATAGGCTTTGCCAGCTTTCTGGAATTCAGGCACAGCAATTAGTTTGTGTGTGTGTGTGTCTCTGTTCACGCACAAAACTTCTGGCATGGCACGATGACAAGTTTTAACTAGAGCCTTTGTGGTTAATAGCTAATTTGCTTCTATGGAAAATTAAGTCTCCAGGCAGAGCTGTTAGTTTAATATAAGATCATTAGATGTGTTTGGTGTTGGTTTTTCTTCCCCTCCGACTGGTTCTTTACTACACAGGCTCTCTTTTACTAATTCACTTGGTTTTGAGTACCCAGGACTAAATGCCATGCCAAAATTTATGAGGTACAGTCCAGCCAAGCAATTCTTCATTCTCAATGTGTTGTCTCCTGTCCATTACTTCAGCTCTTGGCAGGAGTTTCTGATGTGCAAACATTCCTTTAGGGGACTCAATCACATAAGCTGCAGTATGTCACTGTTTTCTGGAAACCTTCAAGCAGCCCATTATGATCAGGTGGTCATGTTTTCCTAGAACAAACAAGTCTGTTCAGACTTTGTCCTGTGGAATTTCAGGTTGTTTGTACTGCAATCAGAGGTCCTGTCCGCTGGACATTTCTGTCCTCAGAGCAGGTTCTGGCCGCACCTAATTCCATCCCTAATTACAGACTGACTAGAACTCGGAAGAGGAATGAAGTCAAGCCTCCAGTTATCCTTTGTAACTCCTTTCTAGAATTTTTTTGACCTTACATGAAAGGCTAGTGTTAGTGTTTGAAAATAAATACCCAGGCTAATGTGGTACATTTTAGTATTCACTACAGCACATCTCGGGTCATTTTATCCCTGTTTTTGTCTCTGTTATCGCACAAGCCTGGCAGGCACGCTCTCTGCACATTCATGGGTGTCAGGACAAAACAGCAACAAATCATGCAGTTGTGGGTCAGCGAGTGGAACACTTGCAATTACTGTACAACACTGATGATACTTTACCTGGGATATAGCACTGAAAGCAGAGGCTAGATCTCTAAATAAATCCGAGTGCTTGTACACTAACACCTCTAATTACATGCCATAAGCTTAGAGGTTTCGTCAAATATTGGACTTTGAATAATAGGTAAACACATAGCTAAATCCAGGCATTTTTAATGGCTGTTGCTTGGATCTTTAATTGCTTTTTGGGAATACTTTCTCTTTTCACGAGAAATGATATTACTGATTCAGAACAAAATGCTTGAGCCTTGTTCTTTTGGTTTGGACCCTTCTCCCCCTCATTCATGAAGTACAGTCCTAGGGATACTTTGAGCAAGACCTTTCAACAGCCGATACATTTCTGCGGTCTCACAAAAGCACTACATAGCATTAGTCTCAAATCTCTTTGTCCATGGCAGGCTCCATTTCAGTGTGGTACGTTTACACCCAGTGTGCTGTAAAAGGTTAATTTCTGCTCCGTCTGGCAGGCAACAAGCTGTTTGTGATACTTTAATCTCTCACAAATTAACAGGGTTTGAATCTATCCATTCCCACCTCCTTTTCAGTCTACGCTTGTTAAACATCCATTTTGGCTCACTAGCTGCTGTTAACATTCTGTGGTCATTTCATCCCAAATGCTCACCTACCCCAGTGAGACTTCCTTATCTGTATCCCCAATTTTTCCAAACCACTCTGAAGCGGTTCGCCCCGGTGTGGTTGGTGGAGACTGGACTAAGTTTTGCAAGTCTGACTTAACCAACTTCCTCACGTGCACTAACCCAGAATAAGAATTTCACTACAAAAGGCCACTACAAACTCACAATGCATCTCAACAGAGGTAGTAAGTAAACCACTTTGAAACTATTGTTTGTTTTTCCAAAAGTAGTAGCTTTTCCTTTTTTTGTCCCCTCAAGCTCTTAGACTTATGCTATACAGAACATGTCCATCAGTCCTCATATTTGAATATGCAGAGCACTAGGATCAGAACCCCACTTTGCCTCAGCAGTCTCAAAGGCTTTCAAGGGCAGAAAGAGAGGCCAGATAAAGAGGTTTGATAGGTCCTCCCTGCTGAATGGCACTTTACAACTGGGCTTAAATACACCTACAGCAATTTAGGACCAGAAGAGTTATCCCTCTATAGCTGATGTTGTGCCAGCCAGGAGGTAGTTTCCATACTCTGCTATCCTTCATCACACTGTGACACTTCTCGCATGTGTAAGTCAAGAATATGTAGGAGAAGGAAAAAAGAGGGTCTCTGCTGTGCAGTGAGTGTTCATAAAGAAGAGAGGTATAGCCAAAATAATCTAAAGGCATTAGAAACCCCAACACATACTAGTGCACTTAGAGGTTCTAAGCAGAACAGACTGGAATGTGGCTGCCTTGTTATTAATACCAGCCTTCAGTGTGCATCAAGGCTCCTTTGGCCAACTCCAAGGTGCTGCCAGACAGTTCTGTTCCCAAGTGGTTAGCCTGAACAGCCACACCATGTCAGATAGCTTTCTCTTAGGAGAAAGAGGATTCTGTATTCTTATTCATTCCTGGTGTTACCCTAATAAATCTAAGGGTAGGGGGAGGGGACACCCAGGTTGTTGAAGCTGTATCGCTCATACCAGCTGCACCAACAAGCCTGCAGGTGAAGGACACTGAAGACTTCTGAAAGTTGTGGGAGGAAAAAATAGATTTCTGCCAGTCAGCTGGATTGAGCCAAGAAGGGGAAGCAAGACTAGAAGTTCCCTATTACCCTGCACATCCAAAGTTCCTTGAACAGGAAGCTTGGGGGCAGAGCAGACCCCACCACCCTATGGATGCACGTGCACTGAAGCCAAGGAAGTCTGTTTTCTCTGTTTTGGAGATTTGCAAGTGTCACTTATCTCCCTTCACTGAGTGCCAGTCTGTTCCCTCCTGCACTCCTGTAGTGCTCACAGTCAGAGAAAGCTTTACTCATCTTTGTTTATTTATTAGAAAATCCCTACAGGTCTAGGCATTTAAAGTGAAGCATTAGTTACATGGAATACGTGCCCTGAAAGTCCAGAAGTTGCTGGATATACTGCAAAGGTGAATTGGGGCCAGCAGTGGCCCAGTGACCTCTGCAGGAGATGCTGGTATGGCTGTGAGACACTAGCACGGCAGTAGAAATCATGATCCAACCTTCTCCACATAGTTAGCAGGATAAAGTCCAACTTGGCCAGTGAGAAGTCGGCCCTTGCACCAGCCCTGCTCATCTTCCTCACTGATCTTCATTAGTTCTTCACCTAAAAGCACAAACAGTCGTTAGGAACCAACCTATGGAAGTGCAGTGTGGCATTTTCCCTGCCTCAGGAGAGGCACCACGCTTTTCTCCACTTATCACACCCTGTATCATAGCACAGAGTTTATCCAAAGCCAGAGTTACTGACCTCTTCAGAGCCTATGCTCAGCCCCATTCCCTAGGCCAAGGAACTTAAAAAACAGACCTTCACTTCTGCTCTTCAACATTAGAAATCTTTTTGTGCCCTATATTTCTTCCTGCTTTCCTGCCCCCAGAAGAACATACTTACAAGCCAGAGAGATCAGAATGATCTCAAAGATTTATTTCTTAGTGGCTCCCAAGTAGCAGATGGGAAGAAAATATAAGAGGCTGCTGAGCTCCAGCTGTTAGGACCCAAAATAACTATTCCATGATGGAGTGTCTGGTTTGACCAGCAAGGCATGGATTCATTTCTCAGACTATGACTGGGAAAGGCTTTTAAACTTCCCATATCTACTTTGGGAAAGGGCAGAGAAGTCCCTTTCTCCACTAGTAGAAGGTCACACTTCTGCCAGAGGGAGGTCTGATGGCATCAAGAGACACATCCCACGCTGGCAGAGGCATTCATTTCTCAGACTATGACTGGGAAAGGCTTTTAAACTTCCCATATCTACTTTGGGAAAGGGCAGAGAAGTCCCTTTCTCCACTAGTAGAAGGTCACACTTCTGCCAGAGGGAGGTCTGATGGCATCAAGAGACACATCCCACGCTGGCAGAGGCTGAGAAATAAAGTCATCTGCTGTTAAGCTTCAGCCCCACTAGTGCACACTGCTCAGAGCAGATTCACAAGGGGGATGACTGAAGCTAACCTGTCATGCCTTATCACATCTGCTGGGTGGAAAGAGAGAGCCAAGAGTCAAGTTCTAGAGCACCCACGTTGTAAGATATTTTAAAGCAACAAGTTAGTGTTAGGAAATTTACTAGTAGGGTAACACTGCAGCACAGATATTGGCCACAGGCACAAGCCCCTGCTACTGAAGGACTTCAGTGCCTTTTTAGAACTGGTGTGTTTTTGAGAGGTATAACACAGAGATACCACGTAACACTCAAAACAAGCAAGATTAGAGACACTCTCAAGATCTGGATGTCCTCTTCAAGTCGGAGAAGACTGCACATGCAAACTAAATTTAACTGAAGGAAGGAAAGGGGAAGGGTCTGTTTGCTCCAGCATTCACTCTCACTCAATCCTCTGCTGTGAGCCAGGATCTCCACTCAAGATACCCATTTTGAGCCACAGCTTGCATTACTGGTTTTTGCCAGCTGAACTCTGACTTCAGTACTGCACGTCAGTCAGCTGAGCTGTCTCCCAAAACAATTATATTCTTCTTACTTCAAAGGACAATCCAGACCACCTATATAATTTTTAAATCAATGGCACAAGGGAGAAGCATTTAATAAAGTCTCGAGATACAATGGAGAATAAATGCTTCAAGAGGAGGCAGGAAGGATCTGTCTCACCACTTGGGGTCTGCTCTCCCTACCCTGTGACCAAGGCCAAGGCAATCTCTTTTTACGTGGCCTCACTGTCTGTCTAGAACAGGGTGGACTTCCCAGTGTCTCATCCACCTCAGAGGAGCTGACAATGGGTCAGGCCGGTGGATGAAGAGTAAGTTATCAGTTTTCTAAGGGACATCCAGTTCTTTAGAGAGTGTTTCAATCATTCAAGTCAAGCGACAGGTTAGTAAGACATTAGTGCTTCTGTACCTGCTTTAAAGCTCAGCTCATCAGCCTCCTGTCCTGTGTAATCATACAGTGCTCGTACCCGTACACCTGGTACCTTTATGTCCTCCTCGTGCCCATTGGCATCCAGGCACTTCTTGGGAGTGTCCTCATCTGACCACTCCGAAATGTCTTCTTTCCCTCCGCTTTGTATGTGGAAGGAGAAAGGGGACAGGATGGTTGTTAGTAGACTCATTTCTCACCCAACTCTTCCCGAATCGTGCACCACCCCGGCTCCCCCTGAGACTTCTGTGCTATAGAACAAGGTGCAAGAGAGAGGGTGAACAGGGAGGAGAGAACCCAGGAGATACCAGGATTGGTTGAAAGCATCCCAACATCAGAGCTTTGAGGGCCACAAGGGTAACTCAAAGTATTTTCACGCATGCACACTCATGACCTCATTCTTCTCTAGCAGAACCCTCTCACGCAAGAAAGGCCAGTCCTAACTGGAGAGCCCAACTGAGTTACTCCAGCCAAGAATAAGACAGGAAAAGCCATGTGTCCCATTCCAAAGAGATGTCTGGAATGCTGTTTTCCAAGTCAGGAACTTGGAAATAAGGGAAGAGCAGCAGAGAACAGGCACCTGGAACCCAAAAACCCCAGAAGATGCTACATTCCATACTAACTTCATACGGGCGGGTGCCCTCAGGCTGTCATAGAAGAGGCTGTTCTGCTCCTCTTCATAGGAAAACCTGTAGATTGGCAAACAGGG